AATGACAAATCGAAAGTGTTCACTTATCAAGTTTAGTCAGCTACTTAATAAGTTATCCGCTTCTCACAGATGAATGAATTCTTCATGTTGCACAATTTATCCAACCACTTCCCATTTTTACCAAGGAGAACACACTTCCGTAGAGAGATGGCTGGTTCAGGCTTGTCTGTAAGGAATGGTATGGGCTGGACAACATGGGTACCGTCAGACCAACTCAATTTGCTGGTGTCTTCTTGGTCGTTCAGACCAATCCAAGGGCCGTCCTCATTCCAAGCTAAAGAATGATGAAAAGCATGGAAAAAATTAATGAACCGATCACGACGAAAAACCGTTTTACCTGGCTGTAAACAACGTAACTAATAGAGAATTAACTGATAAACCGTGCTTCACAAAGTCTTCATCCAGTAGGTACTGGTACATTTAATCTTTGCTCCATCGAACATTCCGGCGAAGGAGAAGCTTTCGTCGTGCCTACTGTAGATGTTTTGGCCTGAGGATATATATGGATTATGCCTTGAAACGATCTGCTGATTTTGAGACGTATGCTGACCTTGAATCATCAACTGCTGGTTAGTGGTTGTGCTYGTGTTAAGTGCAGATGACAAGACATTGCTGCATAGTTGTAGCTGTTGTGACGATGGCCGTGCGTTGTAACTACGAAGAGAATTCTCCACTCCTGTKGCCAGATAAGGACATAATATGTCGGTTTGAAAGCCCAGCGTTGGACCACAATGTAATTGCTGTAGCCCTTACACAGTGGTTAGTGTAGATTTTGGACAAATTTGCGGCTTTGCTGAGGTCTTTCATCATGTCTCCGAGCTTGTTTACTCCGAGGCATCTTCGCTCWAACCAAACTTTCTCGTGTCGGCCATTCTAAAAACGCTTTTGAAACTGGAAGAAAGCACCACAGTCGGGATTTTTAAATTAAAATTAAAAATTAAAATTAAAATYAAAATTTCTCCACATACAGGCAAAAAGCATTGTATCCGTCATTTGGATGGTCGGTTTGGTAGATTCTTCCCAGCTTTTCAAATGATGCAGTGTTGTCATCTAGCCCTCCTTGTCTTGTTTTTGTCGCCTCATCGTGTGTCATCGTTGCGTAGGACTGTGAATTTTCATCACGAAGAAACACAAAACTAGACTTTTTCAAATTCCTCTGACCCTCACGACAATGTTCGCTTGTACAATTTTTATTCACTCGTTGTGATGAATCAAGCTAAGACGCTCGTACCTCGCCCGTTCGTTTGATTTCATTACAATAGTCCAGTCAAATTAGATCTCAACATGCAACTAATTGCAACAGAAGCTTTTTCTTCATAGAATTGTTCTAGATGACCTCACGAATGATGTCAAAAAAATCGGCAAAATTCTGAGTTGTCAAACAGTGTTAAAATTGCATGTTTTTATTTCACTCGAATGCTTTAGCATGAAAACGAGGCTATAACCGGAAGTAGCTTTATTTTTGTATAAAAACAGTAGATAATATACTAATTTACTTTTAATTTCAATTTCTTATACA